TTTTATTCTCACACGTTCGGTTGACAAACATCGTATTTTCAAATATTTTAAATAAAACATCGAATCAAACAAGAGTAATTGATTGGGGTGTTAAAAAAATTCAATGATCCAATAAATTCAATCAACTCAACCCTAATCGGTCGGTTTGAATTGAGTTATAAACTTATTTAGAGTGGACTATATTCAAATAAATAAAAATATTATGGGTCCACTTATTTATAGTGGACCATTATAATTACAATTATATATTATTTAATTTCATAAATATTCTTTTAATTATTCTTAAAAACAATTTTTTAAATATTTGAAAATTTTATTTTTTAAAATATATATTCAAACGGAGCAATGAAACTTAATTAAATCTTTAGAAATAAATATATAGATTTTATAAACCAACCTTTTTTATATTAAAAAATAAAAATTTGAATAAATATGCCAACCATCTAAATCAATCTCATCTAAAAAAAAATTTATGATTGGGTTGTTTCATTATTTAATAATGGTTGTTTAGGTTGAAAAAATTTATACACCAAACGAATTTAATTTAAAAAAATGTTCAAATGCAACCGAACCTGACCTAGGAACACCCCTATTCATACCTTTTTTTTCTTTTTTTACTCCCGATCGTAAAATAATTTAGCCGTAATCACATATTTAGTTGTTTGAGTTACGTTTTCTTAGTTCAAAAACACGAGAACAAATTAGATTCAAATCTCTATTCTCTTGATCGATCCTATTTAGTTATATATACTCAAATCGGTGATATTTCAAATATGTGCGAATATAAATATACATAAAGTGAGGCAATTTAAGAAATGAGGTTTAAATATATATAAAATGACACCCAACAAATTCATAAATAGAAATGTGTAATATTCTAATCTTCATATTCCACATCGAAACTTCTACCAAATGACGAAAATACCCTTATAATCTTTTAACATGTCAATATCACATAAAAATATCAATAAAAATGTCAACGAAAATTTAATACGTCTAAGACGAGTGGAGCCTATATCATTTTTAGTGCCTCTCGTCGAGGAACACTTATAATGAGTTGGTGGGACCGGTTTGAAGTTAGGGTTTTGGAAGGCAATGTGAGGTGTGTTGTGCTCCAAGATATGGCTTCAAAGGGAACAAAAAAAACCCTAAAATTTTGAACTCATTCAAATTAAGTTTCTCATGTCCTCTATGTTCTTTGGTTGTCCCCTTTTTGGGTGTTTTTTCCCACTTAAAATCAATGCCCCTTTTGTCTCTAATTTGGTACCCAAAGTGTGTAAAACCCTTTTTCGATCTAGGGTTTCACGACAATATATATTTGGATTCTTTCGGAAAATAAAAATATTTGTTGCGTGCATTTTAATGGTAAAGTTTATGACGTGATGTGACATGACGTGACACGATAATTATAATGTTGGAATAGATGAGTATGCTTGAAAGCTTGAAATTATGCTTTTTTATGTGAAATCGTACTTCGGTCGGAGAGCGGAACGAGTCATTCCTTATAAAGGTATGAAAATCTCTCTAGTAGACACATTTTAAAATTGTGAGACTGACAGTAATACTGTGATGTCCAATGTTGGTTGGGGAGGAGAACAAACAACCATTTATAAGGGTATGAAAATCTTCCTCTAATAGACGCATTTTAAAGTCTTGAGGGGAAGCTTGAAAGGGAAAGCCCAAAGAAGACAATATCTGCTAGCGGTCGTTATAAATGGTATCAAAGCTAGACATCGGACAATATGCCAGCCTTCTCGCTGTTCCCCGAAGGGGGGTAGACACGAGGCGGTGTGCCAGTATGGACGCTGGGCCCTGAAGGGGGGTGGATTATGACCTCCCATAGTGGTTGAGGAGGAGAACAAACCACCATTTATGGGGTAGACACGAAGCGGTGTGCCAGTAAGGACGCTGGCTCCGAAGGGGAATGGATTATGATGTCCCACAGTGGGCCACCATTTATAGAGTAGACATGAGGCGGTGTGCCATTAAGGACACTGGCTCCGAAGAGGAGTGGATTATGATGTCCCACATAGAGGTCACATACCTCAACTCGATTGGCTATGATCCTCTCGGAGAAGTCAATCTTCTCATCGGCTCGACCCCAATGGTCAATAGCATGCTAGATGGACCCGCAGACAAGGTCGTTCTCATCTCATAACACATATCATATGAATCGTATTAACTAATCAAATTTATGTTAACCTAACCCTTGAAAACTTCAACAAAGAGACCAAATGGCAATACAAAATAGCCTTTGTATTAAAGAGTTAAAATAGAAACAAACAAAGACTTGAACCAAATGAAATGACATTTAAATACATATTCCTAATGCATATTAAAGAGTTCAACATTGCTACAAATATATTAATGTTTTTGTTAAACTAAAGAAATATTTTATAAAATATTTAAAATATCGACAAAATATCACTAATACGAACATATATTAATGTTTTTTTTTTTTTTTTTTTAGAATTAAGTCTATTTTTTTATTCTTAAGGCTCCCAAAAAAATTCTACAATGGTATGATATTGTCCACTTTGAGTCTAAGCTATTGGCTTTGCTTTGCACTTCCCAAAAGGCCTCATACCAATGGAGTTACTATTTCTCACTTATAAACCCATGATCATTTCCTAAATTAGCCGATGTGGGACTTTTATCATCCAACACCTCTCCTCGAACAAAGCACGTCTCCCCTTAATCGAGGCTCGACTCCTTTGGAGTCTTAGTCATATTTGACTGCCTTCGTACGTTCGAGGAGGCTTGACTCCTTTTTTCTTTTTTGGAGTTCTTTGTTCGACATTCGAGGATTTGTTAATCTATTGGCACGACTAAGTTTAGGGCATGGCTCTAATACCATGTTAGAAGAAACACGACTCTCCACAATGGTATGATATTATCCACTTTGAGCATAAGCTCTCATAGCTTTGCTCTGGGCTTCCCAAAATGCCTCATACCAATGAGAGTTAGTATTCCTCACTTATAAACCCATGATCATTCCCTAAATTAGCCGATGTGAGACTTTCATCATCCAACACAACCCAATCCAATCAATCTGAAATTTTGAATTGCCCCAAAATATTTTCACAATCCGACCCAATCTAAGTCAGTCGTGTACACCTCTATTTGACTTTTAACATTCAATTTTATGTCTAATAAGTCTCTGAAAAATTCAATTTTTTTAGAAATTAAATTGATTTATGCACACAAAATTTTAAAGACCAATTTAACACTCGGCTCGAAACTCAACGACAAAATTTATAATTTTTATTTCTATAAAATCGAGACATCGATATTTTCACGTCATTGATTAAAAAAAATAATAATTAAAAGTTGCTAATGCAACAGCTTGGTGACAAATGAGGAGAAAGAGGGGAATAATTGGGAGCCTAACTTTATTGCATTTTATGGATTTGGTAAACCTTTTTTTAATCATTCTTTTATCTCTTTTTGGTATCTTCATGTCATGTTATTGTTTTTATTTACTAATCAATCAATCAAATCAAAATCCAATTCCCAATACGTCTTTTTTGTCATAGATATTATAAAATTCCTATGATTTTTAAATGAAGTTAGTAATCGATGAGACGAATTATACGAAAATGATCATTTTACCATAGCACAAACACGAAAATTTAAGTATAGATGTAATGAACTATGAGATCTCACATTGGTTAAAGAGAGGAACGAATCATTTCTTATAAGGAAGAGGTTTTTTAAAATCATGAGACTGACGGCGATACGTAACGAGCCAAAATAGACAATATCTACGAGCTATGAGGTTTAGGCTATTACATGAACGATGTCAAAGATTCAGATCAGAATTCAAACATATAAGAGAACTTTAGTAACTTTCAATGATTTTAAATCTTTCTTATATATATCATATTCTCAGAATCGCTCAGTCTCGTTCTCGTTCTAATTTTGCTCATTTTACAAAAACAAAAATTTACACAAAATTTTATTCACAATTTAAGACAAGAATTCAAAGAGGAATTAATACATTTTGTGGTTAGGGAATTAGGGCGATTGTGTTGTGTTGTTAGTTTTGGGCCAAACTTAGATTCCAACATAATTAATTAATCGACTCCGTTCATGTTTTTCTTTCTGAGTCTACTGAGAGATACAAATATTTAGTTGCATGCCCGAAGTCAATTGCTTTTACGGTGTCTTTTATTCTTAAACTAAAAAAATCGTTCGATTATTCTAATAGTTTTGATGAGACAACACTTTGTATCTAACGTAACCTTTAATGTTGATTCATATGTTGAACGTGAGTTTGTTTGTGGATAAGCTTATGAGCGTTTATCGGGTCAGATTTAGACATTTTTTTTAGATCCAACTCAATTACAATTCAAATAACCTTATATATAATGAGCCCAACTTTTTTCTTTTTTTTTTTTTTGTTGTTGTTGGGTTGGGTTAGAATGTCCGGCTTAATTATTCAAATCTTTTTTATTGAGATGTGCTCCAATAGTCTCAGACGAACCACTAATCAAACCAATCTATAAAATTTTCATTTATTTGAATGCAACCAAACTCAAACCATACAAGTTGGGTTGGATTAATTAAGTTTTTGGGGTCATCGAATATTTTGAACACCCCACCTACCAAAATAAATTTAAATGTCGCGTTCGTTTATCTTGTAGAATTTTCTTTAAAAAACATTTTAGCAAAGATGAAACATGTCATCTTAGAAACAGTTTTAGTTAATGAATCACAAATTTTAAATTTAAACCACATTATTCATAATTTACAATAAACATGCACTAAGGTTCAAATCTTCCTAATCTATACCATGCTAAATAAATTGTAGAAAAATCTAAATATTAAATTATTAGATTATCTCATTCAATTAACAATTAAATATATTTCAATTCTTAATTGGTACCTTAATCTACGACGTTAAACCAATGAATTCAAATATAAAATATATATTTTTGTTCTTCCGGAAGAAAAACGTAATCATTTGCAGTAACAATAATTATCGAATAATTTCGATAAACAAAATATTAAAAATATTATTGATTGCATAATTGTTACCAAATTATGATTAATTCCTTTCTCTGGAGAAATACTTACCTAAATCGGAATTCCGCATCGGCAAGGGCGAGATATCTTTATATTCAATTTGCAGTTCATCGATCCACTCCGTCGCTACAACCACCGCCGGGAAAGATCGAAGAAAACAGAGCAAAGAAAAATAACAGAGTAACAGCAAGAGATAGTTCGATTACCACCACGATTCAGGCCTCTGTGGCGAAAATTTCGGCGAAGAGAACCAGAGAGCTACGACTTTGATCGCCGGCTGATGAGATCCACCGCCGTCGCGATCGATCTAAGGCATAGTGTTCTGAAGATCCGATGACTGCGGAATCGTTTCTGAAATCTGTGGAAATGTGGAATGAGAAAATGGCTGAAGTCGATGAGTATTCTGTTTGTGGCGGTTTTTTATTATTATTATTATTATTTTAATGTCTATCAAAAAATTTAATTAAATAAAATTTTATGCACCTTAACTCATATAAAATTTTAAATAATTATTTTATTATAAATTATAACTTGTAAATTTAAAAATATTAAAATTTTGAAATGCCAGAACTAAACCTTCTTTATATTGCACTCATTTTAAAAACATTGAAGATAATATTTGATAACGGTGGGCTTGAACAGTTACAAATTGTGTCAGAGCCCAACACACAGTATGCCGAGTGATGTACCCGTGAGGAAGGTGGACACGATGAGTTGTGCGGGGTGATGTACCAGGAGGAGGGTGGACACGACACAGTGTGCGGGGTGATTTATTAGGAAGAGGGTGGACACCATGTGGTGTACAAAGTTGATGTACAAAGAGGAAGGTGGACATGAGGCTATGTGACAGCAAAGACGTTGGGTCAAACAATTGTATTAAGACACCCTTAATTAAATAAATTAATCATAAGTTTTTTTTTTTAAAAAAAAAAACTCTAAATAAATTCATTTAAAAAAGAAAAAAAAGAAAAAAAGAACTCAAAAGCTCCAATTTTAAGTGGCCTGCAGATAGCTCTCTTTCTATGAACAACCTAAAGTATCCGTTGCACCGACCCTTCCTCAGTTCCACTTTTCTCCAAATTTAATTGAATAAACAAACAAGCGAGCGAACCCCAATTCTTCACTCCTCGCAACGGATTCAAAGATTCACCTTCTCCTCCGCTCCCCCTTTTCTTTCCCTCTCTTTCTCTTCAATGGATCCTCTTGTAGCAGAAGCAGCGACGCCATTGTTGCATTCAACAAGCTCCGACACCAGCAGTGACGCCGACGAGAACACTCCGGTGACCTCCTACAGCTTCGATTTGAAACAAATCGGATTCCGCTGCGATTTCCTTTCCAAATCCCCATCTGGGTATTGTCCGTATCGGCAACTGGCAGTTCTCTCCGGCCACATCGGCTCTGTTTCTTGCTTAGCACTGTGCGGCGAGTTCATTTTAAGTGCATCGCAAGGAAAAGACATAATCGTATGGCAACAGCCGGATTTAAGGGTTTTCACCCGATTCGGCCATGGTGAAGGATCTGTAAAGGCAGTAGTCGCCGTAGGAAGCAAGGTTTTCACCGCCCATCAAGACGGAAAAATCAGAGTCTGGAAGGTTTCACGGCGGTCGGAGAACAATTTCCGCCTGGTAAACACACTCCCAACGGCGAAGGACTATTTGGGTAAGTTTATGAAACAAAGAAATTATGTTCAAACAAGAAGACACCATAAAATCCTCTGGATTGAACACGCTGATACCATTTCTTGTTTAGCAGTTCATAATGGATTGATTTACTCTGGTTCTTGGGATAAAACCCTAAAAATTTGGAGGGTTTCTGATTTAAAATGCTTGGAATCCATTAAGGCTCATGATGATGCCATTAATGGGATTGTTATCTGTAATGGGATTGTTTATTCCGCTTCAGCAGATGGCAAAATCAAAGCATGGGGAAGAAAAAAACAAGAACAAGAAGAAACCCATTGTTTATTAGGGATTTTAGAGGGTCATAAGGATGAATCGATGAACTGTGTGGTGGTTTCCGGCGACGGGAAGTGGGTATATGGGGGAATTTCAGATGGGTTCTTGATGGGTTGGGAAAAAACAGGGGAATCGGTGAGCTGTTGGAAGGTGGTTTGGGAGAGAAGGGCTCATAAAATGGCGGTGCTGTGCGTGTGTTTGATGGGGGAGTTTTTGTGCAGTGGATCGGCAGATAAGAGCATAGGGATTTGGAGAAGAGAAGCGTTTGGAAGGCTGTGTAAAGTTGGGGTGATAAATGGGCATGACGGACCAATCAAATGCTTACAGGTGGCGCCAAATGGTGTGGGTGAGGGATTCTTGTTGTACAGTGGTAGCCTTGATAGAAGCTTGAGGGTTTGGTGGGTTTCTAAAGCTTCCGCCATGGGAGTTGGAGCTTTAGTTGCAGAGGATTCAAAGAAGGCTATCGTCTCCTTCTGAGTGAAGCCTTTGAAGAAGCATTGGTTGGTTCTTTTATTCAACCCTTCATTGCTTCATCAAATTTCTATGTTTTTTTTTTTTTTTAATTTAATTTTTTTTGGGGGTCAAATTATAATTTTTTTTTTTTACACAAAAATATTATTTTTAGCTTTCAAATCTTATTTAATTTTTTTAAGGTTTTTTTTTTTTTTTACTAATTTTATGTAATTTATTTTATCCATTGGGTGGTGTGTTTTTTTACATAAATGTTGCAAATTGTTTGAATTTTTGTATACAATTTTTATTTATTTATATATATATATATATATATATATATATATTGGAATAAATGAAACAATTTGTTCTTGGTGTTCTTATTATTATATTGCATTTTTTTTTTATTTTGAGAGTTTTTTTTGTTTTTTTTTTTGTAATGAAAAATATAAATGATTAGATAAATGTATAACCCACCAAATATGGTGAAGGAATGAGATAAATTTAATTTTAATATTCAATATTTTCTTTAATTAATGAATTAAATTTTATATTTAATATCTGATATAAAATTATCTAATAAATTAGGCTAATATTGATATTTTAGGGACTTATTAACACTTGGTAAATTTTAGAGACCTATAAATTAAAAGAGGGATACATGAATAAACTGAGTCCACATCTAAACGAGAGCAATATGAAAATAGAATGATTAAGAAAGAGTAAAAGAATTGAAAGTCACTACTTATACCAACACGATGCACGTTCCTTTTCGATGACTCAATCGTAAAAATTCCATAGTTAAGCGTGTTTTATTCAGAGCATTTATATATTTGATGTCCTCCTATGAATTTTCCTGTAACGTATGTGATTGAAGATAAAATATGTTGGAATGACTCGTATTAATCTGTGGAGATAGTATTTACTCTTAATAAGCCAAGAGTAGCTAACGTGACCATGTCGCAGGAATGTAGGGGAATGTAAGAGTCATCAGATACCGAATTCGGATTCCAATTGCTAGCCATGTGGTGTTACACTATCAGACAGAAAAAATAAAAGAATAGAAAGTTCAGATACTAAACTTATAATTTAACCTAAAAATAAAAAATATCTATCTTTTCTTCTATACGACCAATCTAGTCTCGTGGTTTCCACTTCATTTCTTTTTAGTAATTATAATTTGCTTAAACTTCAACGTCATTTGTCAGACCCAATTCACCTGAAATTTGGCGTATTTATTTATTTTTTACTCGACTCTTAACTCTAATACAATCAACTAAATATAAAAACGTCATAAGAATAATTTAATTAATTAAATCAATTATTTGAATTCATAAAAGTAATTAGATAAAATATTTGGTGTACCATTTAGACTAATATTTTTTTATAATACTAAAATTAAAATAATATTTTAAGATAAAAGTAAGCATTTTGTTAAAAAAATAATAATAATTAAAAATAAGAAATAAAAATGAACGCAAGTGTTTGGCTTGTGGAATCCGCAGGCGGTCAACCGACGAGAGTCTTTGTCCAAAATTGAATAATTAACCACCGAAAGCCAAATTGGAACCCTCTATGTGGACCCAACTTTGACCAAGTCTTCATGTTTAAGCATACAATGGTCCATTTTTTAAACCCTAAGTGGTCCTTCGCCAAACACATTGCCTTTCAAGACTTCACAATCTTCAAACTCTTAGCCATTATTTTACGATTATTTCGTTTGGGTTCCTGAGCTTTTCGGAAAGTAGTTATAACTTTAGTCTTCTTTACAGCCGTGTCTAATAGGTTTCTATGTTGAGTTTCGTGGAGTCTAATCATCGAGACAAGTCAGTTTTAGACTTATTTGGAGGAAATCGAGCAAGGGAGAAAAGGAACGTTGCCACATGTCATGCTATGGGTGTAAACTCTTTGAAACTCGACCCTTTCAAGTGATTTAGGATCGATTTTCTCGACTTATTCTAAGAACCTATGAAAATTTAATAGTCAAGATAAATTACCGATCATCTATAAAAAAATGCAGTGTTGTGTTGAACATACCTTGATGCTTAAGTTAAGGACTAAAGTGATATTAACCTGAATTAGCATAAAACTACATGCAAACATACCTAATGAGTTTAACTGTTTGTAGAGTTCTTTATTAGTGCTTAGTGTTCTCTTGTGATAGTAAGATAGCGATTGTGCGACACTTGTTCTAACTTTGCGAACAAGACAACGGTATGAAAATTGTAATTTGTGAACAGTTTGGATATATGATCGAACCACAGATCATGTTTGAGAGAAAGTGTACGAGGAAATGCGTTGAAAAAAAAAACAATGTTATAGGCGAGAAGGAAATAGGTAATAACTATAACTTTGATAGCGTATAACCCAAGTAGAAAAAATTGACGATGGGTCAATCACATCTATCTATAGTATATTTTGAAGCATTTTAGTCTTGATCGGTATAGACATGATTTTGCATACGGCTAGCGAATGATCCAATTGGGCTTGGACCAGAGTATCTCACTGGCTAAGCCGAACTTCGAAACCTGCTTGGGCCATCCATTAATACACAACTTTCAGCCTTCAACAACGTCCATTCCAAATCCGTACACTTCAAGAGCTATGGCGAGGCTCCTTATCTCGACACGAGCCTTCTTCCCCCATTCCACTCTCCCCGTCGTTCCGGCGCGGGCAATCTTCAGACCTTCCAAATTGTCGCCGGCGGTCAGATTCCAAGGCGATTCATCGGCGGTCAAAACCCTACGAATGGTGACGACTCGTGCCGGCGCCAGCACCAGCAGTTACATCTTCGCCTTCTCCATTTCCTTCTCTCTCATTCTCGTCACTGCCCTCACCGCTCTTAAGATCGGCGATAACCTCGACAAGAAATTTCTTGAGGAGGTACAATTTGTGATTTCTAATTTCGCTCCATTTTGTTTTTGGGACTTAATTTTTACGGAGATTCTGGTGATTTACCGTTCATGTTTGGTTTAGATACGGTTTTTTGAGTTTTGAGATAGGATT